ATGGTGGCAGATTCAAATTTATATGGAGTGATTTTTTGGGATCAATATTAGGAAAAAGATTATATTCTCCTGGGATTGCTGTTGGAAATACACAAGAGGTTAACTGAACTAGCCACTAGGTGGCACCAGTGATCTATTCAAATACACCAATGTCAGATTTTTAACTAACATGGGAAATATTTGATATCAAATACATCTTATGGCAAGTGTATTGGTGATACTAATTTTCTTCCTAACATTTGTTGGGGCACAATTGCATTATGATAGATTGTGGGAGCCAGAAGCAGTAACTCCCCTGATGACAAGATAGTTATATCTTGAAAACTTAGCATCCCTTTGATAGCAGAAATCTTTGACCCTGAATAAGGTTTAAGAAACAAATATTTCAGTCTGCTCCATAGTTTGTTGCAGACATTTTTAATCTGTGGAAGTGAACAGAGCAGGCCCCACTGGACTTCTGCATTAACAATGCTCCTCTCTTCCTTTTTTCCCCAGTTTCATTTATTTTAACATCTGTTTTGTTTTGCTCAGTCTATTTTGTTTAGGCAAAATGGCAAGACATAATTTCTTTCAGAAGTGGTCATGTTTCAATCATGTTGGAAATCAAAATTGTAGACCACAGTAGCTGTGAGCCACTGTTGCTCGGAGCATGGTCTAACCCACACATCTTTCTCTGCTTCTTGCTAGAGATGGCTCAAAGCCCAACCTGTGAAATTTAACCCTTTCAAATTTAGTGCAGAACGGATTATTTGAAATCTGTCAATCCGGTTCCTATCCACATTGAGTCATGCCTCAGAAGAGCATTTGTCCTTATAAGATTTAAACCCCCCAAGTGATGGAAAGCTTGAGACTTTTGGTTTTATTGCGTATGAGCCCTGATTTGACCTCACATCCTGTAAGGAGAGTGTGTACGCTCCCTACCCTCTCCTACCTTGGCAAGGTTACACACTATCCTGATCTCTGAGACACGTTCTGCTCCATAACAACATGTATTTTAGTTCAGGTTACTCCGCTGTTAAACCTAGAGGCAAGGTCCTCCCTATCTAGCTAAAGAGTGAGGAGAAAGGGGAAATAACAGGAAAAGGGACTGTTAAGACAGGAATACCTGGAGAGAGTTTCTGTCCTTATCTGTACACCATTAATGAGTAAGTGGGCAGCTAAGTACTGTGGTCTAGGGCCAGCCTGAGCAGACACTTGGTCCTAGGTACAGTGAGAGAGAGCAGGGGGAAGAGAGTCAAGTGCCAGATAAGTCACAAAGGGATTATTTTTCCTAATTATTTTATCCCACACAGGGCTTTTTTCTGTTTACCATTCCTTTTGACAAACAGATGATTGTACCTCCCCAAAGTGCAGCATGACCCAGTTCATGGACTATTTTGATCCCAGTTTTTCTGACTGGAAATTTCCTGAGGGCCTGGATAGACTCTCTTGTTCCTTGCAGCAAGAACCCCAAACTAAGAAAGAGCTGCTGCTGCTGTGGTAGTCCCATTCCTCTGAGCGACCATAGCTGGGCAGTCACAATTTGAACACAGACCTGAGCCCAACTTAATCCTGATACAGACCCAAATGTGTGTGTGTGTGTGTGTGTGTGTGTGTCTCTCTCTCTCTCTCTCTAATTAATACCTGGTACTCTGGACTGAGGCTGTTGGGGAAATCTCTCCAGTGAGGGTTTGGAGTTAGTAACTATTGGTGGAATAAATGGAACCAGGGCATCTAGAAACCATGACATGTAATTGAAAAATAGCTTCTACAGCTGCCCTTTGCTTTCTCCATCCTCTTGGCAGTTCTAATGGCTTAGGCTGGAGTGAGTTGGAGCAATAAATAAATCTTCTCCCTGGTCTGTATTCACCTAGAGCCAAAGCAAGACAAGGGGATGTGCTACAGATGAAGAGTAACCAAGTCAGAAAAAGAGAGAGATTTAGTTTCTCCTCATAAAAATGTCTTTAAACATATTCAATTTTCCCTCTGTTTCAATTTCCCTCACACTAGAGCAGTAGCACACAAATACACAGCTCCTCCCTCTGACTGAGCACTAAGGATCAGATTTTCAAAGGAATGAAGATACCTAAAGCTGAAAATAGGTGCCTCCTGGGATTTTCAAAAGCACCATTGGGAGTTAGGCACATATAAAAATCCCCAGGAGGCACCTAAGCAAGCTAGGCACCTGTCTACATCTTTAGGAACTTGAATAAATTTGAAAATCTGGCCTTAAGTGTAATGTTGACGGTCTACATCATGCTACAACTGTATGTTCATTTTTAGATAGACAAAAGTTACGATGTGTATGAAAATATGTGAGAATAGAAACATGAAGGGAAAGGCTCTTCATAAGATGAAATGATCCCCCTCACAAAGATTCAGCTTACACCAGGTACCTACCATCTCTTATCTTTATTATTTGCCCTAGTAAAAACTTTGGAGGCATCTGAGTGTTGCAATTCAGTTCCAGGGCAAGCCCATCCTCAGAGATGGCTTATCTGGAGGTATCTTATTGTTGTCTCTGGGACTACTGCTTCAGTAGTCCTGAAATAATCTATCCAGCAGCATTGTATTTCATAATTCCTAAGAGGACAAAGACTATTCTAGGAAGTTCTGAAGATATATCCCTCATTCCATTTGGTGGAAATCTGGTAGATTCCAAAAGCAAAAAATAGCTCACTGTCGGTGCTTTATGAAGCAGAGCTAAACCACTCCTAGAGGAGACGGTGAAATAACCTGCAGTGAGGAGAACGAACCCCACAGGAGACAAGAAAATCTCCTCACTTCAGTTCAAACCGTGTGTGGCAGGAATGTCATATACAAGTATTTGACATTTTAGCAGAGCTAGTCATTATAGGGGGCAAGAGAAATATTACCTGTGGGCAGTGAACATTTTGGTACCCTCCCCACACCTGCCGCAAGTGCAGTACTGTGTTTACAACAGTAAAAGTGCAGGCAGCTTGCATTAACTGAAATAGGGCAAGCCCCATTTGTATAAAAGAAAACTTCATGCTTTATCCTGCCGCAGCTTCCTCAGTATTTTTCATATGGCATTTAATAGTGGAGTATCCTCAAGTAAGTTTTGCATGCCAAACTCAGATTTTTTTCTTGTTCTTTTAGACTGAGTAGAGATATCAAGTTTAGCGTTTAGGAAACTGTGTCTATGTAGCTTCCTTACATTCTTAATTTGTATAGAGAACAAAGACTCACCACCAAGAATGCCTGAATTCCTGGTGACCTTTCACTGCAAACTGTGAACTTTGCTCACTAAACTCAAGGTATATTTAGGCTTCATCATACCAGCTGCAAGAGAGTCACTCTTCTTTCCCTTTCTAGATCATTACTTATTAGTGACAGCTTCCCAAACACAATGAAGGGTGGGAGAACTTGTCTGAGTAAATTCCAAAATCTATTCCAGGTTTTGCAGGCTCAAAATTGTAACCTTCACATTGAGCTTTTTCAAAAATAGCTGTCACGCAGACAAAGTGGCATGAGTTATACCAGCAGTATCTCTTATGTAACATATATGGCAGTATCCTAATGGAATTGTCCAAAACGTGGTAAAATCCTACAGTTATTTCTCAGTTAAAACTTGATTCATTTCAGCATCTCTATCCAGCATTCATTCGCTCATGTTAAATCACTGAAAAGGATGCTGAAGAGAACCTGTTGAAGTCAATGGGAGTTTCAACTAAGTAAAGAAAGCAGGATTTGGTTTAGTGGTAACACTATTACGAACTGTGATTGTTAGTGTAGAATATTGCAGGGTTTTGTTTCCTCTTGTTTAAAGGATACATTTAAACACTTGTATGTTTATCATGTTAGAATTTTCAAAGCAGCTGCATTGTATTTATGAGTTTAGTGCTCAGAAAGTTTAGCTGTGTAAGAAATATTGTGGCTGCATGTCAATTTAATATCCTAATAGGTTCAAATACTAATATCGGTATCAGTATAAGTTGCGTATCTCTTGTTTGAGTGCTTCTGTAATTTTAGTCAGTTGGCAAGCACTGACAATCTTCTCAGCACTGTATAAGACACAGGTATTAAGACGGTTTCTGCCTCTGAAAGCTTACCGTTTGGAAAACAGGAACAGAAAGCTAAGATTTCCTAGGAGACTCAGCTGCATAGCAAATATATTTATCTGTAACAGATACACTATGATCTCACCAAAAGCTCTTTCATAAGGAATAATTGGTTGGATACATTTAAGTGAATTATGGGCTTTGGGGAGAAGAAGTTGCACTTAAAGTGTTATCCTTCCTTGGTCATAGTAGCTATGGAAAAAGCATATGCAGTACAAACTCCTAATTGTACTGCTGTTACTGAATGACCTGTTAACAAACCATACACTTCAAAGCACCCAAAAGCTAGGGTGACCAGGTGTTCGGTTTTCAACCAGAACACCCAGTTGAAAAGGGATCCTGGCATCTACGGTCAGCACTGCTGACCGGGTCGTTGACTGTCGGGTTGGCGCTGCCACACACTGGGGCTGGCAGGCTCCCTGCTAGCTTCTGTGCCACACAGCAGCTGGGAAGCAGCCACCATGTCCCCCCACCTCCGGCTCCTATGCATAGGGGCAGCCACGGGGCTCTGCATGATGCCCCTGCCCCAAGAACTACCCCTGTAGCTTCCATTGGCCAATTCGAGCTGCGGGGGTGGTGCCTGCAGACGGGGCAGGGTGCAGAGCCACCTGGCCATGCCTCTGCATAGGAGCTGGAGGGGGGACATGGCGGCTGTTTCCCGGGAGCCATGCAGCACGGTGGCTGCTTGAGATAAGGGCCGGCTGGAGCCTGCATGCCTGACCCCATCCTGGGGTCCAACCCCCTGCCCCAGCCCTGATTCCTCTCCAATCCCCTCGGTCCCAGCACCCTCCTACACCCCAAATCCTTCCTCCCCAGCCCAGAGCTCCCTCCTGCACCCAAACCCCTCAGCCCTGGCCCCACCCCAAAGCCTGCACCCCCAGCCAGAGCCCTCACCCCCTCCCGCACCCCAGCTCCCTTCCTTCCCTCCCCATGACCCACCTCTTTGTGAGAGCAGCAGGCAGATTTGGAGCCTCCCCAAATCCCCGCCTCCTTCCCTTGGCAGTATAACTGCACTGCTCCGCTGTCGGGGGGTGTTTTGTTTCTGCAAAGGGTGAAGAAGAGGATTTGTCCCTGTGATTTGAATCCCATCTATTGCACACTCATGAGATGCCTTTGTATCCTCACCAAGTGGTAGCAGTCTGATGTGATGGCTGCCACAGGGTGTCTGTTTTGTGCCTTTTCTATTTGCATCCGTTTTAAATGTGTTTGAGTGACCAAGAAAAAAAAGCCACATTGTGATTTATTCATGATAACCTGTGCGTTGGCTGACGAAGGAAACACATTCACCAATGAGAACAGGGAACTGTATTTCTAAACTATTTCACAGCACTGCTTGAATTGAGGGGGGAAAGAGACCATTTATTCCCCCTTCCTACCCAACTTTCTTCTTTTTCTAATTCCTCTTTAATTTCCTCCCAACCAGCACCAGCGAGTGGAGTGTAAGGCTGGGATTTTCAAGAGGGACTAAGGGAGTTAAAGCAGCAAAGAGTCCTGTGGCACCTTATAGACTAACAGATGTATTGGAGCATGAGCTTTTGTGGGTGAATACCCACTTCTTCGGATGCAAGGGAGTTAAATTTCCAACTCCTATATAAAGTCAATGAGAGTTGGACACCTGGGATAAATTGTGCAGTACTTAAGTGATTTAGGAATCAGTCTCTTTCAAAAGTGTCTGAGTCCCATTGAATGTCATGTAGCACTAGTGCAGGGGTAGGCAACCTATGGCACACGTGCCGAAGGCGGCACACGAGCTGATTTTCAGTGGCACACTCACTGCCTGGATCCTGGCCACCGGTCCGGGGGGCTCTGCATTTTAATTTAATTTTAAAATGAAGCTTCTTAAACATTTTAAAAACCTTATTTACTTTACATACAACAATAGTTTAGTTATATATTATAGACAGAGAAAGAGACCTTCTAAAAACGTTAAAATGTATTACTGGCACGTGAAACCTTAAATTAGAGTGAATAAATGAAGACTCTGCACACCACCTCTGAAAGGTTGCCAAACCCTGCACTAGTGGATCTCAATACAGTACCAGAGCCTGAAGAAGAAAGACAGAGAAGACAGGGCAAACTAAACTTCATGAGGGTGTTGGCAAAGAAGCTGGATTTGAATGGAGATAAGGTGATGAGTATAACAGAGGGGACTGAATTGGTGAAACTTGTATGCTAAGGGGCCACAGAGGGGAGTTCCTTAGAAAAAGGAACTGACAGGAGGTCATAAGGATACATAAATTGCAATTGCCCTTATTCTCCACTTAAACGTCTCATTCTGGGTATGTAAATTAAACCAGTTTAAGACCCCAGACACTTACAGCTACTTTCCCCATCATTCATAGTATATCTGCATTTGACCCAATATATTTTCCCTCTGCTTTGTGGATTAAATTAGAGAATGTCTGTGAAGCTAAACTCTTCATCCTGGCCATTTTTCTGATTGCCCTCCCCTCCTCCCACCATTTCCATGGCCTTTTTCAAATATTTTAATTAAAAAAAAAGTTATTAAAATACTGCATCCGTCTACTTAGTGACAGCTGAGTGGGGCTAACACCATATTAGAATAAAGCATAGGAAGCCAAGGCTATTTGAAACAAGTGAAATGCACACACAATTGCATTTAAAAATATTGTATGACTTAAAAAAGAACCTAAATCTCCTAGTCTAGAAATTTCTTTCAGAGGACTGATATTTTTATATATAAAACTATTATGTCAAGCATTTAAAAATGGCATCAAACAATATTTTGATATCCCCAAGTGTTGCTTCTGAGAATCCTTTTCCTGTTTTGCATTTAAAATGACACTAAAATAAGTGCAGGCGATTAAGGAAGATGGGTATGTTCTATTTTATGAAGGAAACCCAGCAGAACTGTTTGTGGGGATATTTAGTTACAGGAAACCCACTTGCTGAGCCCCCCCTTCAGTTGAAACAATTAAAATGTTGGTTTTGGTTGGAGCTCAGAAATTTTATTGGATCCAAATGCTTTTCAATCATCTTCACCAGCTGACACCCAAGTTTGAAAATTTTCAGGACTGCCTATGAAGATAGGGCTAGGGCTTTATTTCAGGCTCTATATCTAAACATCTTGAATTTTGGCCAGGTTTCTATCAAGATCTGAACTTTATAGCTCGGGTGTATTTCCGTACACTGGAACAGGTCAGAAAAAGGGAGGAAATGGTAGCTTTCACAATTTTTCACTAAAATTTTGAAAATGTACAATGCTATTCTACTTTATGTATGTGTTTCTGAAAAGAAAAGGCATTAATTTTGATCTTCTTAACAAGGTGCTGTAGCTAAAGCATTTGACTGGAGGTCACAATAGCGGAGTTCTGTTCCCAACTCTGCCATTGACTTGTTGAGACATTGGACAAGTCACTTAAACTCTCTGTGCTTCAGTCTCCCTTTCTGTAAAATGGGAATGATGATACTCACGCATCTTTGCAAAGCATGTTGAAATTTATTGATGAAAAGAACTATGTGCTAATTATTCTTATTTTTAGCTGTCTGTGGGATTGGCTAGAAAATAACCTCTCTTTATAATGTTTTAACCAACCTCTGTAGAAATGTATAACTAGGTAATAAGAGCCCAATCCAATTCCTATTGGTGGATCTTTTCATTGGCTTTGACTGTGTTTTGGATCAAGGTTTGAAAGCTCTAATAAATTCAATAGAAGGTTTCAAACATTCTGTAGAAAGGGTCTCCTTCTCTATTAAATTTTAGGGGTTGGATACTTCAGTTGCACCAAGCTCACAAAGCTGTAAGAAAGATCCATCTTTCTGCTCCCCCTCTTTTAGGGCTAGGTAGGACATAGGGCCACTAAGTTACACTGAGTGGGATGGTCAGCAGGGACAGTTCCATTGACTGAGGATTGCACAACACTTTGGCCATGCCTCCGTGTCTGAGGAGGTGGAACAGGTGCAAAAAAGGGGTGTGTGTAACCAAGGCTGAGGATGTAACTCTATATGGTTTTAGAGTTATTTTTATAGTAAGAGGTTGGTTTCATCCCAATTAAATTCTATTGGACTTTTTCTATAAAAGATCAAAACAATCAAATGTGCTTTTTCCTCTTTTATATGGACACTCAAACATCTGTGGCATTTGCATGATTCATTCTCAACAAATGGATTTTTTTAAATTAAATTAAATAATAATATATCTTATTAGGCAACAATGATTTTTAGTTCCAAAAGTCACATTTGAGAATACATAATAGTCCTGACTGTGGATACTATGAGCTAATGTCTACTTGTAAGAAACTTTTCCATTAAAGCTCAAAATGATGTTTACCATCTACTTGCTATTACTCAGAGATATTAAACATTAGAGTGACACTGCTGTGTGATTTTTATACACAGACTCACACACACACTATGGATATCACAAGTATATAACAATAATGATTCACTAGATTCTAAAGAGCCCTCAGTCAGCCCAAGAGAAAATTACTGTGCACCTCTCTCAATAGAAAAAAATCCTTTCCCAATGAAGCCCATAACTGATCACTCCCTAGCCCTAGAAAATATTAACAGAATCCTTTAAATAAGCAGGAGAAAATGCAAAATGTTACAAAAAAGTCTAACAATTACACGAAGAGCTACAAATTATATATATTTTTTCTCACTTTGAATTTAGGAGATTTCCCTAATGGGGTATTTTCTTTAATTTTCTGGGGGCGGGGAGGGGGGGAACATACTGAGATTGACTGCAAAGAAGTTTTGTAGTGGAGAAATTTCTACTTGAAATTCAAACAGCATATGGAAAACACTTGAGTAACTTAGCAAGTCCCATGGAAGACCCAAGTGATTACTTCAAGATTACTTGAGTCTTTACCAATTGTGTTCAGGCTTAGTCATTGTGGATATGTCATTTGGAGTTTCAAAACTGGATATACTTACATTTAGATTTTTGGGAAAGGGCAGCACAGTGGATCAAAGTCACTTGTGGTTCACCTGGATTCCGTGTCTGCTTTAGGTCAGTGGAGTAAGATGTTTTGTTGATTCCAAATCAGCACCTACAAAAAGTTAGTTGTATTTTAAAACATCAGGTTAGAATTTAGACCATAATAAAGATTGGGCACTCTCAATAACAAAGTATTATCCTTTTTGCACAGACATCAAGAAACATTGACCAAGATTTTCAAATCCAAGTGGCTAAAATTAGTCTCTTAATGCCATATTTAGGCATCCAAATCAGTAGCCTGATTTTTTCAAAAGTGCTCCACACCCAGTAGCTGCCATTGACTTCAGCTGGAATTGTAGGTGCTCCACACGTTTGCAATCAGACTGCTGATTTTAGGTGTCTAATTATAGACTAAAGAGTCTACTAGTAGTAGGCAGTCATGTGTGAAAAACTTCATCATTGTTCTCAGACAACCTATTTGGCTATAACTCAACACATGGATTTTGATTTTCAGGAAAGCTACTTGAGTATTGTTTCCTAAGCATTGTGTCATGGCTGTGTAGAAGCATTTTTTTTTTTTTATCATTAGATGTGAAATTATCCAGGTGCCAGTACAGAGACAGATGGCAGTATTCCATTAAACCTCATTGTCTTTTACATTCATTACCTCAATAAAAGCACATGACTCTTGTATGTGCACTGTGCTCTGAAAAGACACTGGTGTTTTTAGAGGCTTTGAACTCTGTGTGATATGCTTGGCACCTCGCTGGACTGAACTCGAAGTCTGAGGATGCTGGACATTCAGGCCACAAGAGAATGCGAATATTTAACCACTGAGCTCTCCTTTAATAAAACTGAGCATGCACTGCTTCTTTTGCAGAATGCAAAAGAATTTAAGCCTGTTTTAAGATAATGGCTTACTGTCATTAGTTTTAAGACAAAAATTAATGACAGTAGGTCATCGTCACTTTTTTAATAATGTCATTGCCTCTGAAAGTCCCCTGTTAACAGTGGCAGAACACTATTCAGTGGTTCTCAAACTTTTGTACTGTGACCCCTTTCACATAGCAAGCCTCTGTGTGCGAACCCCCTCCCCCCTTATAAATTAAAACCACTTTTTTGTATATTTAACACCATTATAAATGCTGACAGCAAAGCGGGGTTTGGGATGGAGGCTGACAGCTCGTGACCCCGCAGCTAATAACCTTGCAACCCCCTGAGGGGTCCTGACCACCAGTTTGAGAACCCCAATAGCTCTTGAATTAGATTTTGTGAATTTCTCACAAAAGCTGAGTTACCTGAAAGCTTAGATGTAAATACTGTTGAGTGATATGTATTAGGGGTTTGACCCAAAATCCACTGAAGTCAATTAAGAGAATCCATCAACTTCAGTGAACTGGCACCAGTTCTATGTCATTTCTGGGTCTTAGAGATGCGTCATCTGCTCCCTGATTGCCATGTGCTTCTCAGCCTTTTTAAGAGGGGTTTTTTCCCCCATCTTGTATCCTGCCAAGTAGGCTTCCTCATTTGACCAGCTGAGATGCTCAATCGTTTTCAGTGTGAATCTTTGCTCATTCATTGTTTTGAGCTCCAAAGTTCAGCTCTGGAGCTAACCTTGCCCACAGTTTGCCAGGGTTTGGTCTGGGGTTTGGTTCAGCCTCTCAGAAAGGTGAAAGCCAGTCACAAATTTATATCCAAACTTTCCCAACCAAATGACCTGCTCCTGCCCCCATTCCAAACTTCCACTGATTTCTCTGAGAGCAGGCCCAGGCCCAAAATTCATGGCTGTTCTAGTTTGAGCCATTCTCTAATTATATTAAGTATCCTTATATATGTATAGATGTAGGCATCAGTTTCAGGACAAAGACATCCTTCCATTTAACTTCTTTTTAAAACTGAAATATTATAATTAAATTTAAGTTATTTATGATATGAGAAAAAGCTCGTGAGGTTTTCTATTATAAGAAAATCATTGGCATTATTGGTTTAGCTCTGCCAGCTGCAGCTCATGACAACAGGATTAGGGCTTTCCTGGGTGATTCAGGACAGAGCATGGAGCATAAGCAGTGGGCTTGGTCTTGGGGGACAGAACCTTGTGACGATTCCTCTCTGATGGGCGCAAGGAGAAACTGTCATGGGCTTTCTTAGGATGTGGCAGGAATAAAAGAGCTCCTGGAGAGGAAACATAAGCACAAGACCACCTGTTTGTACTGTTTCATCTATTAGGTCTATATCTGTAGGTATGTTCTATGTAGCTGTGTAATTGGAGAAATGAGGTCATCCTGTTTTTTGTATACTGCACCTTTAAACACTAGGATCTCTCTGCCGGCTGCAGGTGGTAGCTGGGTGAGGCAGCTGACATTTTGTGTTTCAGTTTGGATTCTGAAAGTCAGAGTAGGTCACTAGCCTCTCACTGTCTCATGGAAGACAGTATGACCCCAATTCAGCTAACCACTCAATCATGTTTTACATGTTTTTCAGTACTGCATGTGATTAAGTGCTTTCAGTGAATCAAGTCTACATCCTTGTTTCTTTAACCTCAACTCTAAGGGTATGTCTACACTACGAAATTAGGTCGATTTTATAGAAGTCGATTTTTAGAAATCGATTTTATACAGTCAATTGCGTATGTCCACACTAAGTGCATTAAGTTGGCGGAGTGCGTCCTCACTACCGTGGCTAGCATCGACTTATGGAGCGGGGCACTGTGGATAGCTATCCCACAGTTCCCACAGTCTCCGTCGCCCTTTGGAATTCTGGGTTAAGCTCCCAATGTCTGATGGGGCAAAAACATTGTCGCAGGTGGCTTTGGGTACATGTCGTCAGTTGCCCCTCCCTCCACGAAAGCAACGGCAGACAATCGTTTCACGCCTTTTTTCCTGGGTTTCCCATGCAGATGCCATACCACGGCAAGCATGGAGCCCGCTCAGCTCACCATCACCGCTGCTGTTGTGGGAAAGTCTACTGTGGGGGCTGCTGTTATCCAAGTAGCCAATGCAATCATTGACGTTCTGTTATCAAGCGTAGTGACTCTGGGAAATGTGTGGGCCTTTTTAGATTTTAGGTGCATCATATTCCTGTCCTTTGTCGCTGGTGAAGAAGTCTTGCAGCCGTACATTCCAGTCTGGTCGGCACTGCAACACTCCATAGCACTTCTGTGGTTGACACATGTAACGGCTCCAGGGCTCTTGCTCTTTTGCCTTAGCTGAGGTACCTTGCCCTACCCGGACCTCCAAGCATTCAACACAGAAGCACCTGCAGCAGCTGGCATTGCTACACAGCAGCAGCTCTTGCCTTCACAGCAGACGGTGCGATAGGACTGCTAACCATCATCATCCACCGCTTCCGCTGCAACTCTGCTCTCCTGCTCCACAGCAACGAGCTCAGGGGATCTGTACTGGTCCTCCTGCTGGCAGCAGACGCAGTAAGACTGGTAACCATCCTCGTCGGACATGTAGCTTGGCCAGGGGTTCTGGGAACGTCTTCCTTGCCCGGCTCCTAGCAACCTCCAGGGCATGGTGTACAGCTCCATCACTTCCCCTGCAACTCTGCTCTCCTGCTCCCCGCGACGAGCTCAGGGATCCATTCATGAAGCCTGGACAGTAGTAAGGAGCACTTCAACTATAGGCTGAGCAAGTGCAGAATGGTGGTAGAATGTGCCTTTGGACATTTAAAAGCTTGCTGGCGCTGTTGGTCAGACCTCAGTGCAACCAACATTCCCATTGTTATTGCTGCTCGCTGTGTGCTCCATAATATCTGTGAGAGTAAGGGGGAGAAGTTTATGGCGGGGTGGGAGGTTGAGGCAAATCGCCTGGCATCTGATTTTGAGCAGCCAGATACCAGGGCAATTAGAAGAGCACAGCAAGGTGCGCTGCACATCAGAGAGGCTTTGAAAACCAGTTTCATGACTGGCCAGACTTTGGTGTGACAGTTGTGGGTGTTTCTCCTTGATGCAAACCCGCCCCCTTTGTTGATTTTAATTCCCTGTAAGCCAACCACCCTCCCCCCTTCGAAATAAAGCAGCTATTGTTTTGAAACCATGCATTCTTTTTTTGTTAATTAAAAAAAAAAAAAGAGATAATGGACAAGGTAGCCCGGGTGGGGTGGGGGAGGAGGGAAGGACAAGGTCACATTGATTTTTAGTGTGGCTACAATAAGCAAACTGTTTGAATGACAGCCTTCTGTTGCTTGGGCCATCCTCTGGAGTGGCTGGATGCCTGGAGCCTTCTCCCCACATTCTTGGGCGTCTGGGTGAGGAGGCTATGGAACATGGGGAGGAGGGGAGGTGCTTATACAGTGGATATAGCGGGTGTCTGTGCTCTTGTTGGCTTTCCTGCAGCTCTAACAGATGCTTCATCATGTCCGTTTGCTTCCCCATTAGCCTCAGCATTGTATCCTGCCTCCGCTCTTCGCGCTCACTTAATTCTTTCCTGGCCTCTGCCACTGAATGCCTCCATGCATTAAGCTGTGCCCTATCAGTGCAGGAGGACTGCATGAGCTCAGAAACATGTCATTGTGAGTGCATTTTTTTTCACCTTCTAAGCTGCGATAACCTCAGGGACAGAGATGATAGGGGGAGCATAGAAACATTCTATGCTCTACGATTCTGGGAGGACTGCATGGTCACCCGTGCTGCTGAGTTCGCCACACTGACCAAAGAGGAAATGAAATTCAGAAATTCCCAGGGCTTTTCCTGTGTACCTGGCTAGTGCATCGGAGTTCAAAATGCTGTCCAGAGCGGTCACAATGGAGCACTCTGGGCTAGCTCCCGAAGGGCAATTCCGTCGATTTGCGTCTGCACTACCTCAAATTCAACCCAGCAAAGTTGATTTTAGCGCTACTCCCCTCGTCGGGGAGGAATACAGAAGTCGATTTTAAGAGCTCTTTAGGTCAATGGAACGGGGTTGGTTGTGTGGACGCAATCATTTTTAAATCGACCTAACGCACCTAAATTCGACCTAACCCTGTAGTGCAAAACAGGCCTAAGTAATCTAGATTGAAATACTGTTCTCTCTTTTATGGGGAAAAATAGGGTCAAATGCTGTCAGATGCTTACATAGCAACCCTCCCGTTGATTTCAATGGGAAATTTTTTCTGAATAAGAACTGCTGA